TTTATACAAAAACATGTGTCCCCTCTGTGTAAAGAGATTCTGAAAGTTTCAGGAAAAAAGATTTGCTCACTTTTTGTCCTGATCAGATTTTGGCCACTTTATGATGTCATTACGATGTGTTGGCTTGTGTAACCATTAGCCAATCACCAACCAAGGTACCCCCCCCCCCCCCNCCTCCTAGAGCACCATTGTGTTCTTGTTAACCAAATCTCTCTCAGAGGGGCGTAGGGAGGGGCTCCTTATTTTCATCTAAAGTAACAGACAGAGAATGTGCACTTTGGAAACAGGGCTGAAACAGAGGGGATTATGGGATGCTGCAATGATCTGTTTGGTGTTTGGAACCAAACACTTCAGAGACATGTTTTGTATCTGAGACCTATAATATATTGATGAAAAACAGTATGATAGGGGACCTTTAGAGACTGAATATTGAGTCTTCACTGGGCCAAAATACAGTGAGTTCAGCCATAAACTGCAACATTTCAAAGCATACCTTAAATTCTTCTTTCAGTTGTTTTTCCCTCCATGTAGCTTTTGGTTTAAATGTATTTTAGCACACTGCAACAAGTAGTCTGCTAATACTGTTGCAAGTAGAGGTCCTCTAAAAAATCCTGCTTTGTTGTTCAGTATTTGGATTTGTAACACAGCATTGTATTAATGTTAAAAAGCATGATATTATTGGCTGATAAAGAATTTTCAACATCAGTTTTGGGGGAAATACCCCAACAGGAAAAGTCTGTTTAAAAGATCCTGCTCTGATTGTTGTCGCGTTGAATACATGTTCACAAGCAAATGGTTTTTGATCAACCAATCAAATGAAAAGCTCCTCCTCCTGTCACCATGTGGCAATAACACAACATTGTAACTGAGGGTTGAATAAAATAGATTACCCATTTCTAATGTCAACAGGACTTTGGAGAGATTTGTGTTAATGTGTTGCTAGATCTACCATTATGATTCCTTTAATGTCTTTCTAGCATTATAAGTACCGGTAAGTAAGCTGTTTAAAACCTCCTTGATTTCTTGACTCCTCAATCGTTAAAATATTTTACTTTTGGACTGAATGTGTGAGTAATGAACTGTTTGATTGACAGGAACAGGAAGGGAGGAGAGCAGGGAGAGCAGGAAGAGCATCGACCTGGGCCCCCCCCTGCAGGACGACACCGACGAGGTGAGCAGGACATCCAACAAAAGAGTCTTTCATCTGCTGTGGTCTAAAGCAGTGATTCTCAAACTGTTTTCAATAATGTACCCCTTTGAAAAGAATATTCAGCCAAGTACCCCCAGATCAGCGCAAAAACTATTTGTTAGGGAAGAAATGCCTATATAAAGAGGTACAGTACAGCGCTGCACCATCGGTGTCTGATTTATTAAAACAACAACCTTGTAACTGAGAAACACTTTAAATGCTACATTTCAAATAATAATAATAGATTAATTTAGTTAGCGCTTTTACAGGTGCTCAAAGACGCTTTACAGATATAGTGTTTACAATCCATCACTAAATTCATGGAAAAACTATTTTAACATCATGCTATAACACTAAGATGACATTAGTTGCATTGAACTGATCTTTTTAATAAGTTGTATTTACAATTTAGTGAGAAACATGGGCTTGTGCTTCACTGAGAATCTTTGTTATTCTCAGTGACAGGAAGGCCACTGCAGTTATTAAACTTCACGTTTTGAAATATGTTTAACTGTTAATATAAAACCCACACTGCTCAAAATTCGTTATTTTTCCTAAACTTCTTCTTTTTTTTTTCTTAACATAAAATAAATCTGACGTACCCCCTGCAGTACTCCAACGTACCCCTAGGGGTCCGCGTACCCCCATTTGAGAACCACTGCTCCATCGTATAGACCAGGGGTTTTCAAAGTGTGGGAAGGTGAGCCCCCCTCTCCCAATTATTATTGCTATTATTATTATTATTATTATTATTGTTGTTGTTGTTGCTATAATGCAGGGGTATTTAATTGCATTTCAAAGAGGTCCAGTAAGATAGAAATGTAATTAAATGCTCTGTTTTCGCTGTCTACCTTTCTCTTTTTTGAGCATGCCATTTGAAATTACTCCGACTGTTTCTCTCTTCTTGCCTCGTCTCTGTGTGTGTTTGAATCTATCGTGCTGACTCACTGACTGCAACGACGTTGCAGTCAGTGAGTCAGCACGATAGATTCAAACACACACAGAGACGAGGCAAGAAGAGAGAAACAGTCGGAGTAATTTCAAATGGCATGCTCAAAANTTGTTGGCATCGGCCACCGACGTCGGAAAGGAGGAAGTAGAAGAAGAGTCTCTAATGGACTTAGTGAGCGGGACCAGGATGCGTCCCGGCACCCAGCCCTCTGCGGCAGGTGATTGGCTGTTGGCCTGCCGGTAAACAAGGAACATGTTCTGCTGATTGGTGGCCAGGATCTGGACGGTCTCTCCCTGACTGACGCAGACCTCGTTCTCCTTGAGCGCCGAGTAGTCCTGAGAAACCAACATGGTGGAGGAGACGCCGTTACAGCCTTCAAGGTCCTGGGGAGGAGATGAGAGGATGGCCAAGAGAGAGGAGAGAGGAGGAAAAAAACACAGAGGAGAGCAGAGGAGAGAAATGACAGACGAAGAGAGGATGAGGAGAAATGTAGGACAAGGTGAGTGTTTGGTTTGAGTAACAGTCATAATGATCCAAATCTGAGGAGGAGCAGAGGAGAGTCAGGACCCAGGAGCAGGAGAAAAACAGAGCATCAGCTTTCTGTTCAGGCTCTCTTTTACAGACAAGTTACTACATGTACAGTCTAATCAGCTGATCACCTCTATGCTGATGAGTTTCCTGCTTCTACCCAGTACGATGGTGCTCAAAGCAAAACATCTTAACTTAAGCAGACACGGCCGTCCACACGGCGGCGTGCGTTGAAGCTTCGACGCTTCTGCCCCTTCACTTTGAATGGGGTGACGTCACACTTTGCCGAACTGCATTGTGGGAGCGTCGCTTCGCTTTGCTTGCTTCAAAAGTTGAGCAATGTTCAACTTTTGAAGCTTTGACGGAAGCGTCAGCCAATCAAATCATATGCCAGTACAAGCTCTAGCCAATCAAACCGCGTGCTTGTGTGTCCGGGGCGGGAGATTCATGGGATTAATTGGTTTTTGGTCGAGCTTCAGACACGCCGCCGTGTGGACGCTGCGTTATTGGTTCATGTACATTAAAACCTCTACTTAACTAAGTTTACATTTTTTTATGTCATTAATTTTTGTATAGATGTTCCAATAGGTCTGATGTTCACTGTTTCTGGCCAATCAGAGCTTTGATGTAGGAAAAACCTCGTTATTTTAGAGAAAAGTGTAGGAAAGATTTAATAGATTTTGTAAATTGAATTTGAACGCACATTTTTATTATTTAATTACGTTAGTTCTCAAAACCAGTTTTCAGATAGGAGCCACAAGGTGTACTTTATCAAATATGATATTTTTGTTCTGTTTTACTTCAATCTCATTTCAACTTATTATAAAAAAACATAAGTCTTGTTCTTAGGACAGTCTCAGTTTCTCCCTTTAAGAGGGTCAAGGTGCTTCCATGTAGAGCCTGGCAGTAAATCACAGAGTGAGCAGAGCTGTCCAGCCTCCTGCAGACAGCAAGAGGATTTATAGACAAAGTAGGCCAGAAAGAGAACAGCCTGGTGTGTGTGTATATATATAAACTCACACAGTATGCTGCTACCTGCAGTAGCCCAGATTTTAACCTTGGCTTTTAGGGAATAGGAAGCTGAACAGACAGTGTGAAGGGGAAACAAGTGTGCTTCATGCTCTAGGTCCCATGGAGTCTGCTGCAGTATAAAGTGGACAGTATCAGAATCCCTTAATTAGTCCCAAAATGTACAAATTGTAATACATGCAATACTGTGAGGAGCTCCAGACAGACGAAACAAACTAAAATAAGATACCTAATCAGATAAGTAACCAATAAGCGCTCTCATGTGTGTCCAGGCTGTTTGCTGGAACTCACCCTGGACTCGAAACACGTGGATCCGCCGTTGGAGGTGGAGCCTTTCATCTGGGGCCTCCCTCTCTCCGTCTCCTTGTCTCCGAGGCCGACGGCTGATGACGGGCGGCTTTGAGACGACGCTGCAGAAGAAGAACGGTTCCCCGAGCCAGAGCGGTTCCTGGTCAGCGAGGCGCTGCTGCCCGCTCCGCCCTTCTCCTTCTGGTACTCAATGGGAGACTGGAGGGCTACAATCACACAGAAATGAAGTATTACAGTATGTTCCTCCTCTTGGTGTCAGCTTCTCTGACTCTCCAAATGTTTTTATTTTATTTTAAGTATTTAAGTGCAATCAGGAAACTCAACATCCAAAAGAAACAAAATGTCATCATTTGAATGTATGTATCATTGGCAGCAGGTCCTTTGCATCTAGTTACAGAGTCATTGCACTTTTAGCTGCAACCTTTATTTTAATGCTTTTATGAATTGTGTTTTTTGTGTTTGTTTTGTTTTTAGTTATTATGTGTTAATGTGAAGCACTTTGAATTGCTTCTGTGTCTTAAAATGTGCTATACAAATAAATAACCTTGAACCTAATAAGGTGTTGACAAAATACACAATGCTTCAGAGAATAGTTTGTGTGTTTTCTCACCAGACAGGAAGTTGTTCTGAGCATCCAGGACGGCCTGGATGTGTCGGACCCAGATCTGTTTGATGTCCACGTTGGCGGCCTGCAGGGTGAAACGCTCCGACGAGCCGCGACACGTCAGGACGAACTTACATTGATCGTTATCGCTGCTTTCCTCCAGACCCAGGAAGGATATCTGAGGGGGGCGGGGGGAAGAAAGCATTATTTACTATTGTAAAATCAATTAAATTCATTAAAATAGCAACTTTAACTTCAACACCCCCAAGCTAGAACATTTTAATTTCTAAAATGACACACAAGTGGACAACATCTCGAGATTTTTTTAGGAAAGGGAAACTAACACTATAACATGGGAGCATGATGAATAGATAGCAACATTAAGGGGACTGTTCATGTTGTTTTCTGACTCATAAAGTTGTTTAATGTTGAGTTACTCATTGAAATTGCCCTCTTAATGTTACCCCCCAGAAAAAGACCCCCATTCTGTGCTTACTTTAATGCTCTTCTTGAACTGATATCCGGGCGTGGACGATCCTTTCCTGAGCAGCTCACTGAAGATGACGATTTGCTCGAAAAGGAAAACTCGTCTCTCTTTGGAGCGCGACAGGACGCCGGAGTCCTGCTCCGTGACGAAGAAGGTTTCCTGCTGGAGCAGCTTGCCCTGACTGGTCAGTTTACCCTGAAGAGGAAATGGATTAGTCAACATATTTAAATCATTTCTCACTGTTCATTGTGCAGAGTGCAGACTTGTTATTAAAACAGGAAGTGAACATACCTCGTATCCCTGCAGACGACCCAGATTCATCATGTCATTACACAGTTTAGGGACCTGAGACATCAAATCTACTGCTTTCTGTAAGAGAGGGATTTCAATCATTGTTTAGGAGTTCATTCCAGCTGTTTTTCCTCTCTTAGGATGGACAATGAATTTAAGAAACATACATTGATATCAATAAAACATCTAAAGGTTAAGGATTCAGGCAAGGAAGTAAAAGCGGGTACGAATCCTGTGATGGGATTGTGTGAACTTTGATATTTAGGCACTTTAAATGAAGTGTTTTTACCTCGATTTGTTCACAGTCAATGCCTGCCTTGCTGCTGTACTTCTGGAAGTCCTGAGGAGAAACATGACCACACCTTTAACACTCTGATGGCTTCCACAGGATTGTTGACATCCCCATGGATTAATCTTCTTGTTATAAATACATGCATTTCCAAACATTTGGTCTACCTACGCTGTAAAATGTATTATCTTTTCAATTTACACACGGCATCTATTGCACGTCTGTCCGTCCTGGGAGAGGGACCCCTAATCTGTTGCACCCTCTGAGGTTTCTCCCATGTTCCCCTTTAAACTGTGGGTTTTCTCTGGAAGTTTTTCCTTGTACGATGTGAGGGTCTACTCTAAGGTCAGAGGGTGTTGTTTTTTCATACTGATATTCTGCACAAACTGTGCTGTTGTATTTACTGTATAGTGTCCTTACTGTAAGGTAATTATTATATGTACAGCACTTTGGCTCGACCAAAAATCGTTTTAAAAATGTGCTATATAAATAAAACCTGATTTGATTTGATTTGATCTGTACACTCAGTTCACTACACAATACATCACTGCGCCCTACATGTCACAGAGGCAATTATCTCCCTTAAATGAGTGGCCTCTTACAGACTCGAGACAAATAAAACACAAATGGCTTAATTTCACAGCGCTAGTTATTTAAAAAAATAAATGTGGCAAAGTGAGTTCTTCCTTCTAAAAAATAAAATCTCTTTTGGTAACTAAATGAAGTAAGCTAAGGTTAATTGTGTGTGTGTGTGTGTGTGTGTGTGTGTGTGTGTGTGTGTGTGTGTGTGTGTGTGTGTGTGTGTGTGTGTGTGTGTGTGTGTGTGTGTTACCTTCAGTAGCAGCTGGTATTTGGTGATTCTCTGGATTGGTTTGATGAGGAAGTCACTCATGGACAACCTGGACTGGACGTCGTGCTGGAGTCCCTGCAAGACAAACACCAACAACATCAGAAGGTTTCTTTATCCTCTATTTGTCCTCTAACATGTTTTGCTTTATTAATGTGGTCTGTTAAATATTAAATATGCAAGATAATACAAACATAATGAGAGAATAGCCAATGCTCATGGTAGTGCTAATGGGGATCCTAATAAAGAATAAAATAGAGCAGGTGGAAGTCTCAAAGGAGATGTTGATGAATGTATTGGAGATGTTCCCTTGTTTTACTAAATAAAAAAACAGTACTTAAGTAACACAAATAGTCAAAACGTCACTTACCTCGAAGAATGTATCGTATTCTGCTACGATGAACTCTGACTTCGGCTTATTCTGACAATAAATCACGTACATGTGGAGCCTTCTCTCCTGTAACACACAGGAACACACACAGTTTTCAGACAGCAGATCACACAGTTCATTTTAATATTACAAAGTCATCATCATCTTCATCTTCATCATCATCATCATCATCATCATCATCATCATCACCATCACAGTGCTCCACTCACATGTTTGATGAAGAGCTGAGGAAGGAGCTCATGGTCGTCTAAACATTTATCCAGCTCTCCGACGAAGAAGCTGACAGGAAACAGAAGAGGGGATATTAGTGATCAAACACAAACATGGCCGACGACCCCGATCTGGGTCCAGTTCCAGCTTTTGAACACCGACGCTGAACCTACTCTCTGTGCCAGTCGTAGATCTGGTGGATGTTCCCGAAGACGATTTTGTCTTTTCCTTTCATGTCGTCGGGGATGCCCTTCTCCTCGATCTTCTTCATGAAGCCCTGCAGGGGGACAGAAGGTCAACATGTTGAGAGGAGACACTTAATTCTCCTCAAACGTCAGAGCAAAGACGAACACTACCAAAGATACATATTTCAGGGGTTCTGGGGTCATTATAATTTCGCGAATTTGAGTTAAGAGTTTTAAAATCTGAATCAGGATTTTAAGCAGAAATAGTTTAATTAAGAGACACAATTAATTTGCTTTGGTGTATATTCTGTGAGGCTGTGGCGCAGTGGGTTAGTGCGCTGAACTTTGAATCAGGGGATAGCAAGTTCGAGTCCCACTGCAGTCAGCATGTCGTTGTGTCCCTGAGACACTTCACCCCAAATTGCTCCTGTGGGGATTGTCCACAGTACTGAATGTGTGTAAGTCACTTTGGATAAAAAGCGTCTAACAAGTGACATGTAATGAAATGTAATATTCTGCATACATAAATAAAATAACAGGAATTAACGAAACAAAAATATTACTACATTATAAACTAACAAATATACATTTACAAAAAAATGAGAATATGACAATTTACTCAAAAAAAGTGCATTATGTCAGTATTTAAATTGGTAGAGCTGCTGTTATGTGACCATAAAGAAAGCTACTTGAAGGGATACCATTGACTCTATCGTAAGGGTCATGCTTATAGGGGGTGGCAGGATATTCAGAATCACAAAGGTGTGCATGTGTTGTTGTCTCACCTCCACCACGATGCCCAGGTCCTTGACGTAGTCCTTCTCCGTCTGGATCAGCTCGTTAAGGACAAACCTGGTCAGAACAAAACAATTCACTGAAACATCCTGAGGAAAATGTTTTCACTGTCAACAAGGACTACCGTCTGCACTGGTTTGTTGTGGGTAAACTTGTAGTAGTTCTTGAATTAGAAGCAGTTATAGTGGCAGTAGAGATGATATTCTGCAGTACTCACATCCGTCCTCTCATAGCTTTGGCTCTCTGCTCCAGCTCAGGGTTTCGCGGCTGCACTGGAGTGGTTTGCTCCGGCGGAGAGAGAGACGAGAAGTCGGGGTACGTTCCTTTGTCCAGAGTCTGAAGAGAGGAAGAGGAGATCAGCGTTTAGAGATGAACCTTTTCACAGTTATTTGTTATAGACTCAGGATAGCAACGACATGTCCTCCATCAAATCTATATCATCGTATAGGGACTCAACAATATAAACACGAAAGGACCTCAAACCTTGGGTGCTCAATGAGGACAATCTCTAAGTGTGAACCACCATCAGGATAGTGAGATGGATTCATGACAGCAGAGGGCAGCAGGAGCTTGGTCTTTAGCGGCTGAGAGTAACCACTCTGTGTTGATTGTGAAAACTACCACCTCTGCTTTTCATAATTACATCAACGTCGGTGTGGAAATACAAGATTCCAAATCAGCAACAAATCCCAGCAACTGTTTTTTGAGCCGGAGAGTGATTTCTCCAACTGGCCTGAAAACACGGCAGCGGATTGAAGGGCAATATTTCAAACAGCAGAGTCCATCCTGGGACCATTTGCCCTTTCTAGTCTAAACTCAGTCTCTACATTAAAGGCAATGGTGGCCCAAAAACAATATTAAAACAAATAAAGAACACATTATACTCAAGTGGATATGCCATAGAAACCGCTTCAGCTCTTATTAAAAATGGAATTTCTTTAATGTGTGGTGTTTTGTCCAGTAAGATTCTGATCTTCAGTTTCTTATCAACTAAAAAGAAATGTCACTTAACCACCATTCAGATTGGATTTATTTCTCTGGAGGAATGGAGCGACTTGAACATTATCTGTGCTGCTCAGAAATGTGTTTCATACGAAATAAACGAGGAGAACAGTGAATATATCGTTCCCCATCTCCCCCTGTAAACGTTCCAGATGTGGCCTTTGCATGACTTCTGTTCAAAATGTTATGCATAGATATAAACACAGACACACAAACTACTACAACTATGAACACCAACTATATCACACCAACATAGAGACAATAAAGTACAACACACAAGTACAGTTCATTGTTCACGCATGATTTTTGTTAATACACAAATTCAGTATTGTGTTAATTTGTTGAAAAGAGCACAAACAGATCCATACATGCTGTGTTAGCTTCAAGACAGCAGGTTGTGTTCACTTCGGTCTAAGACTGGTCTGCAGATTGTGTTTTTGGTTTATGCTCATTAATAAAAAGGCAACCTATTTCTTATTCTGTAAGTGTGTAGGACCCATTCATGCACTTAATCGCACACACTCACCATCTTGGTTTTAACCAGTTTTTCTATGGCGCTAACCAGCTCTGCAGCGCTGGGCACGTCAGAGGACGACTGAAGAGATGTTAGCAAGGAGGAAGACTGAGAGGAAGAGGACGATCAAAACCAAGAGCATGTTAGGAAGATTGGAAGTGAAGGAGGGAAGGCAGGAGGTGGAACAAAGGATGTGAATGGAGTTAAAGAGAGAAAAGCTGTTAGTTAGCAGGAGGAAACACTGCACGATGTATACCAAGCCGGAGAGAAGGACAAGCTTTGCTCAAATAAACCTTATTTGTATTAACTACTTTTCTTTCTTTCAAAAATACAAGAGCATCGATGAGTAAAAGAGTAAAGGGTATGGAAAACAACAGAACATGACACCCACAAATTTGATATTCTAAAAAATAAATTTAAAAAAACTGAAAATATTTTCATTAAATTAAAAAAACCTGATAAAAACCTTAATGAAAATCAAATAAATCAAAAACTGAATGACATGTTAACATCAACCCTTCTCAGTTCAAAGGTTTGACCGATTTGAGAGTAGAAGTAGTTTTTAACTGGTCGGATAAAGCATTTATTTAGTGACGTGAACCCTGTCTTCTCTCACCTTGTCCTCCTGGTCCTTGATGATCTCCATGCGGGGGGGCAGGTCGGTGTGCGGCTCCTCGTCCTGCTCCTCTTCCCCCCCGCTCTGCATCCCAGACTTGGAGAGGATGTTAGGGCTGTTACCGCGGCGTCTCTGAGGGACACACACACAAATCCAGAGTCCGTTAGAAATAAGAAATGTTACACACTTTCATGATCACATTATTTATCATCGCACATCAGTTATCGTTGTGAGACTTTGTTAAATGCATCCATTCAGGCTGTATTTTCTCATTGAACAATGCAAAGGGGTATTGTGTGAAGAAGAGTCATTTCCTGTCTTTGTAACTCTCTAATGTGGCGCATACGAAAAACAGCTTTCTCCGAATTAATCTGTTTTTACAAGTTCTCCAAAATGACTTATTATCTGTTATACTTCTGTTGCTTTTAAGTTTTAGTTACGTGCAATAATTGGTTTAACAATGCGTTTACATTATTCTCATATATCATTGTTGTCCGCCAAGAAGCTCACCCAGAAGTAAGGAAAACAGCAACTGACATGTTCCATACGTTAATGATTTTTAAGAGTTTTCAAAAATGATTGCTAAGTTATTAATAAAGTGGGAGAGCATATGGACATCAACGTGATTTATTCTAAAGGGTTTTAACATTACAACATCAAGAGTTATATGACAAATAATATCCACAGAAGTCGGATCCCTGAGGTTTTGTATTGTCAGGAATCAGGGAGTCATTCTGGAGTTGGGTCATTAATGTGTGTGTGTGTGTGTGTGTGTGTGTGTGTGTGTGTGTGTGTGTGTGTGTGTGTGTGTGTGTGTGTGTGTGTGTGTGTGTGTGTGTGTGTGTGTGTGTGTGTGTGTGTGTGTGTGAGTGTGTGTGAGAGAGAGAGTGTTTGTGTGTGTGTGTGTGTGTGTGTGTTGTGTGTGTGTGTGTGTGTGTGTGTGTGTGTGTGTGTGTGTGTGTGTGTGTGTGTGTGTGTGTGTGTGGGAGTAGAAAGCCCCCACACACAGAAACAGGAACCTTGGCTGTTTACGGTATATTACGTAGATGTAGAAATCTCTTGTTTTCCTCCCTGACAGGTTCTCTAAGGCCACAAGGAGCAGTTAGATTATCTTTTAACTAAATACCTAATAGACTGGAACAGATAACCAAACATAAAGCAGGGCTTGATAACACATATTTTTTTTCGGTAGATCAGAGGCCCAATACTGTATAAAGCATATCTAATCAGGTGTTTTATATCGGATTATAAATGACCGTATAAACCTTTCTTCCTGCTGAGTCTACACAAACCCTTTAACAGCATCAGAAATGCAACAAGGATCATTTAAGGCGTGATAACTTTTCATTGTGCTGCAAAACAAACACAAATAAGGTCTACTTTAAAGGGGCCCTAAAATGCTTGTCTTTTCTGTTTCACAGTACAGCCACAAAATATAAATATGAACCTAAAAATGTGCGCAACAGGCCGTTTGAAATCAAATGTTTTATCATTTTAATGAATCTTGTGTTTCATGCGCGCTAATTATCGGAGCTAGTCCAAAGTAATTAAAAAATATGGTAAAAGTGAAAATGCATACAACTGGATGAATGTGCATTTGATCTGCAGGAGTTTTGTGAGCATTTTTAAAAGGATGTTTTGATATATTTTTTCTGTGAATTGCATCTCCCATTTATTTCCAATTATCAAGACTTCCCTCCATTTTGTAATCTTCCTTTAATATGTAAACATGCAAGAGTTCTGCGTGTTGGATAAAAGCGTCTAACAAGTAACATGTAATGAAATGTAGGCCATTGGTATACAAGTTCATTTGTGGTTGAAGTCTTCCTTTAAGCTATGAAATGTCAGCAGGTTTGTGAAACACCACACTTTAGACCAGTGGTTCTCAAATGGGGGTACGCAGACCCCTAGGGGTACGTTGGAGTACTGCAGGGGGTACGTGAGATTTATTTTATGTTAACGAAAAAAAAAAAAAGAAGAATTTAGGAAAAGTAACGAAGTTTGAGCAGTGTGGGTTTTATATTAACAGTTACACATATTTAAAAACGCGAAGTGTAATAACTGCAGTGGCCTTCCTGTCACTGAGAGTAACAAAGATTCTCAGTGAAGCACAAGCCCGTGTTTCTCACTAAATTGTAACTTATTAAAAAGATCAGTTCAATGCGACTAATGTTTCTTAGTGTTATTGCATGATGTTAAAATTGGTTTTCCATGAATTTAGTGATGGATTGTAAACACTATATCTGTAAAGTGTCTTTGAGCACCTGTAAAAATAATAATAAAAATAATAATAAATAAATAATAAATATATTATTATTTGTAAATGTTAGCATTTAAAGTATTTCTCAGTTACAAGGTTGTTGTTTTAATAAATCAGACACCGATGGTGCAGCGCTGTACTGTACCTCTTTATATAGGCATTTCTTCCCTAACAAATAGTTTTTGCGCTGATCAGGGGGTACTTG